TTGGCTGCGTGGATTTTTATCATGGTATAGGGCGCCGCAGGCTAAAATGGGTCCCAGGATGGCTGTCCTGGGGGGAAGTAAAGACGACCGGCGTAATGCTGACCACATTACCCACCGAGTGCCGGTTGGTCTGTAAAAACATGGGTGCTCTTCCAATACGTCCGGTGCACCCAAAGGCGTGAAAAGGGATCTTTACTTTTAAATTTTTTTTCAAAAATCTGCATAAACCTGTGAGGCCCCTACCGATTTAGATTACGCCAGTTAATCTCAGAAAACGTTAAAGTATATCATCATGATCATCATTATCATTATGTGCCCTGCCAATTGGCGTAGGCGACCATGCGTCTCCACAGATCACGATCCCTGGTTGCCTGGAACAGCTCTCTTGATGATATTCCTCCATGCCATCGTTTTAGCCCCTCCAGCATCATCTCTCTTCATCTGCCTCAACTCTTTTTCCACTGATCTTTCCAGTTGTCACGATGTTCTCCAATGTCTCTCTTCTCATTATATGGCCAAAGAACAGTGTTTGTCTCAATCTTATTAGTTGTATATAGTGATGTACTTTCATTAGCTTTAAAGTATATACAACTTTAATTTATATGGATAATGGAAACATTGTTTAATTTCTGTTGACAAAAATAATAAGAATGAAGTTAACGTTTCAACATATACGGATCATACTAAAGCAACATATTATAATCATGAACTATAACCAGGGCCAACAATGTCGGAGGCAATTTGGTGTTTTAAAAACCCACCCTGGCTGCTGCCGGGGGCCCTAATGTAATCCCACCTATGGGTTAAACGGGGTTTCTGGGACCTATCTCTGGGTGATCCACCCCGAATGGTGGCACTTTGTGTCACCGGGTGTTGATTGTTTTGTGTGATGTCCTGGTGGGGGTTGAACATCATCACCATCCAGCCAACATTAAAGTTAAAAGGAATTATGTTTAGAAAAATAACAATAATAATTATTTTTATCTCATCACCGTCGTCATCATCATCGTTATCATCAGCATCATCAAATTTTCCTCATCGTCATCTAGCGTAGACTTTAGACCTTTAACAGTGTGTAACTGAATAAAGCATTTTAAGAGACTTCACAACACGCCAATCGCATTTACAACATAGTACTTGCGATACTATAAGTGCTAATTCTACGCCCACCGCTTACACTATTCCTACCAATCCCGCTGGTTGTTGACTTGTTTGCAGCATCAATCGATTCTTTTCTTTTACTGTCCTGGTTGCTTGTTGCTGACTTGTCAGAGTAGCTGCGCAAAGAGGCAGACCTGGAAAACATGGAAGCTTCAGCTCTGGGTTTCTGCTGCTTGTCGAGTTCTTCTACCGGTGAAGCTTGTGGAAACGCAGTTCCTACGCTAGATCGTCTAAGAAGGGTTGCCCTCTTGGCGGAATTGTCCGTGTTGCAGCTGACCCTAGGTGAGGGACTCCCAGTTGTAGTCTGGATGGAATTGGAGCGTCTAAGGCGTATTGGTGCATCGGAGGTAGGCGAGCCGTTGTTGGTGGCAACTAAAGACGTTACGGGACGGGAGGAGGTGGTGGTGGCTTTTCTGGTTATCGTCGGTGTTTTCAGTGAGGCAATGGGAACTGTGGACAAATAATGTTTATTTTATACAATAAACCAGGTAAAGAGAATGGTTAGGATATTAACACACACACATACACACAGGCATACACACACACACACACACACACACACACACACACACACACACACACACAAATGATAATTAACAGTAGAAATGAAAGGCCAACAGCGAACACAAATACAACAAATGTCTCCTATCTTGCTATTGATTGCTTATGACTGCACAAGTGACAGAACAAGAATAGCTGATATATTTTCAATAATATGAGAACATGTTTGCCATCTATAAAAATAAATACAACATTAAAAATTACAACTACTATATATCACAAAAGCCTGCACAATGAACACACTACTAAAAATTTTATTGGGTTTTCAGAAATGTAAATAGACAGAAAAGAATGTGGTATTTCAAGGAAACAAAAACTATCAAATACAAAGGATCTGACGAGATAGTAAATACAAAATAAAAAAAAAAAGCGGGAGGCGGGGGGGGGGGGGGGGGGGGGGGGGGGGGAGAGGGGGAAAGGGGGGGGGGGGGGGATAGTTCAAACACATTACTGGACATAAAACTGGTGTAAAAACCACTCTGCAAGGAAAAGTCTAGAGCAAGATGTACACACTGATACAAGTGGGGGAGGGTGGGGGAGGGGCAACAACAAGAGATGGACGAATAGCAGTCTGAGAGAGTGTACAAACAAGATGATAGACACGGTGAGGTGGCGGCCCATTTCAACATATTTTCATTGCAGAGATGACACCTGAATGATTTTTCAAACACATACACTTATGTGCCAGTGTCTTAACAAGCAGACAACAGACTAATAAAGTTTGTCTGTTTAAATGTCTGTATGCATGTCTGTCTGTGTGTTAGCCTTTTTTTCTATGTCATTTTTATTCGTCTATCTCTATCAGTCGGCGTCTGTGTCTTATGCGTTGCGAACGCGATTCGTTATGCCGGGGTGCCGGGTTCGATCCCAGCTGCGGACGGTTTGTCTTGCTTTGGTATCGACAGTGGTATCGAAAAACCGACCGTGGAGTTCAATGGCAAACTACTGGACGTAAAATTTGCCTAGAAAAACCACAAGAGTAAAAAAAAAAATGTTGGTGTTGGTTCTGCAATGTCCTGTAAAGGATACACAACCAACAAACATCTCTATAGCTTCCGTTTCTTTCTTTCTTTCTTTCTTTCTTTCTTTCTTTCTTTCTTTCTTTCTTTCTTTCTTTCTTTCTTTCTTTCTTTCTTTCTTTCTTTCTTTCTTTCTTTCTTTCTTTCTTTCTTTCTTTCTTTTCTTTCTTTCTTTCTTTCTTTCTTTCTTTCTTTCTTTCTTTTCTTTCTTTCTTTCTTTCTTTCTTTCTTTCTTTCTTTCTTTCTTTCTTTCTTTCTTTCTTTCTTTCTTTCTTTCTTTCTTTCTTTCTTTCTTTCTTTCTTTCTTTCTTTCTTTCTTTCTTTCTTTCTTTCTTTCTTTCTTTCTTTCTTTCTTTCTTTCTTTCTTTCTTTCTTTGCTTGTTTGTTTGTTTGTTTGTTTGTTTGTTTGTTTCTTTCTTTTTTTTTTCTACATGTTTACCTAGCTGTTCCCATTCAGATCTTCATAGACCTGTTAATTAATTAATCAATTATTTAATTAATTCATTCATTCATTTATTCATGCATTCATGCATTCGCGCTCTTTTCATCGGAGTGGCGAAGAAACGTTCCTCTGGCTATGTCCCAGTCGTAAATCAATAGGCACAATTGTAATAAATAGTAAAAATTAATAATAAATAGGAAACAAATGCCATATTTTGTGATGACAAATGTACTGCTTCAACTTCTGGCGAGCTACAGGTAATCTGCATTATTATGGCCTGGAGAGAATGAGGCACCTGGGTGTAACCAGAGGGTCTGATCGGCTCACTACACTCAGAGGAAAGGCAAGGCGGACATATAACCAGACTGTGACCGGTAGCGTCAGTATTGGAACTCCGCCCTGGCTGCTGAAGATGAGGACGGAGTATGCATGGGAATGCCCCGAGTGCTGTTATGTCAATTCTTGACTTAACTCAACTCAACTCAACTGTTGAAGCAGCTATCGCACCTGACAAACAGACTTACTTCCCCCCTCTCAACGATGGTCCCTCTCTAATAAAGCTTGATAACCGGATCCATCACTTGATTCATCGGCGACTGGTGTTGGCCCGTAGACGACTTCGTCGCGGGTCAGGACTGTATTTGGGCCAGTCACCTTTGATTGCATTAAAACTGGAGGAATCCTTTTCAGGGCTCTTGGTGGCATGCGAACCATTTTATACAGCGCACATAACCTAGTCACAATTATAACCTAAAGCTCCCCCTTCAGGGATGCTGATTGGACGTAACGTTAGAGGCCGAGTGATTCAACTGGTATAAAGCTTAAATACGAAATGATAATGATGACGATGATGATGATTATGATAATGTGTTTATGGCTGAAATATTTTTAACACAAATGCTAGTCATTAGTGTTTTTCCTAAATGTGTAATAAAAGTCAATGGTGTTATTTTAGGACAAGTTCAGAAATTTAAGTACCTGGGCACATGGATAACATCATAACTGAAATAAGAAACAGAATTGGACAGGCAAAAAACTGCATTTTATAAAATGAAAAACATCTTGGGCAATATATCCTTGTCATTGAGAGTTAGAAAAAGAATTCTTGCTTGCTACTTACATCCAGTTTTAACATATGGATGTGAATCCTGGACAATCGGTAGGCAGGCCAAACAACTTTTAGAGGCCTCAGAGATGTGGTTTTACAGAAGAATGCTTAGAATTCCTTGGACAGCCAAAAAAGAGGAACCAAGAGGTTTTGAAAGAGACGGGAGCCCGAAGACAACTTATCACAGACATCAGAAGGAGACAGTCATCATTTTTCGGCCATGTTATGAGAAGAGGGAAAATAGAACATGTTGTGACCACTAGAAAGATCTGTGGAAAAAGGGATAGAGGAAGACAACGAGAGAATATGCTTGACAGTCTTGTTGCATAGCATGGAGGTGTGTCGGCACACGAACTGATACATGCTGCAGGAGATCACAGATTATGGAGAGGCATGATCGCCCACGCCAGTCGGCAAGGCACCTGATGATGATAATGATGTTAGTTTTTAGTCAAGGTTTCAAACCCCCCCCCCCCTAAGCTGGGTGCCCGGCTCTCTAGCGTAGTTGGTTAAACCGGATTGCGCGGAGACCGGGTGACGAACTCCTTGTGGTCCGGGTTTAATCCCGGGGGTAGGCAGGAAAGCCACATTTCTCCCAGATTTACGGTATTTACAATGGAATCAAGGCCGAAAGCTTGTGATATCCATAATACCGAGCCTAAGGGTTCACAAACTCATGGCTTCTGGATACTAAAACAAACAAACAACTCTAAGATGGGTCACACCTTAACTGTTCCTTTGCTCTGTCAGTGCAAATCAGATACAATATACTTCGATGTCTTATTTCGATGCTAAGTCGATTCAAATGCTTCGTAATACCGGGGTTCTAGGTTCGATCCGAGCTGCGGACCATGCGCCTTGCGTTGGTTTCGACAGTGGTATCAGGGGGCCGACCGTCCAGGGGTGATGGCAAACTACTGGAAGTAAATTTGCCTATAGAAACCACACAACATACAGTGGCAGCTTGGGTTGGTTTAAAGGATACGCAACTAACCTTATTACGGCCCTAGGAGTCCTCCAAATTGCCAAACGCCTGCTTGCTGTTGCGATATAGCTTCCCTAATAATCACAGTGTGGAAACCAAGTCCTAAGACAAACGAACTACAGTTGGCATTACCTTTGTTTGCAGTTCTGAAGATTTTCCTTCCCACAGACACAGACATTCCCTTGACCACAGCCTCCACGGTGACGTCGTAGAAGGTGTCGAGTTCAAGGTCAGCCAGTACACACGCGGTTAACTCTCCAGACACAGTCACCTTGACCCCGACCTTGTCAACTGTGTGGTGAATCTGCCAAAGCCTTGCATCCTCTTCTTTGTTTTTTACAGCCACCTGTGTGTGTGTGTGTGTGTGTGTGGGTGTGTGTGGGTGTGTGAGTGAGTGTGTGTATGTGAGTGTGTGTGTGTGTGTGTGTGTGTGTGTGCGTGTTTGTGTGTTATATAAAGTTATACCAATAAATAGTAATAACTTAAAAACTTAAACATAAAATTGTAATTTCATGACATGGTATGTTTACGCCATTGGTTAACTGTCAGATGAGCAACAAAAGTTTCCCTGTTTTAGTGGGTCGCTGGTGTAAAAAGTGTGAAAAACACTGCTCTAAAACAAAAGTAAAGGACTCTCAACATCAGTGTGACATCTGACAGGCGCGTCACCACCGAGAAAACTTACAATATTTATAGGAGTTGGAGGTTGGGGGGAAGGGGGATGGGTGAGGAGAGACTTAATGAATGGTATATGTTGTTCACGGTAAAAGTAAAAGTAACGTTGACCTCCCCAGGCCGCGCCCATATACACACTGGGTCACTTCTAATTAGCAGTTCCTGATCTCCGTAACCTTCGCACAAGGTTACGGGGGTGTTGCGAGATACCGGTTATATCGCGTGTTGTATATTTCAGCACGCCAGCGCTTTTAACGCTCCAAAAACATAGAGCAACTTATCCCAACACAACTCCCAGAGAGGGCTAAAACCTATGTCACAGGCATTCTCTTTCTCGGAATGAAAACGTAAATGCCACAGAAAGCAAACAACATAGCAGCACACACCCATAGCCTCTAGGAAAGTCGAAAAGCCAAACAAACTTTTGAATGAAAAAGGACCTACTCTATTTGGGGAGATTAACGTTACTTTAACCGTTGTTTACTGTTTGCTTTCACCGGTTGTAAGCGTCGGCGGAAAAACCTGGCTGTTCGTCAATTTCTGAACTTCCCTTTGTTCCATGACCTGAGTTTTCCGAGTGCACCCATTTGACAGATTTTGCATGTTTGCGTGCAGACTGTTCGTGACTTGCCTCTTAGGCAGATGCACTCCGACTTCAAATGAAGCCCCCAAGTAGTCGCCTTTTACGACATGCTTGTTGATGAGACGGTGGGTCTATTCTTGATTTTGTTCATAATGAGACCCCGTAACCCACAAAACCCACAAAAATGGTATATAAATTATCGTATAACATTTAATATGACATAAAATGTATAAGCACACACTTAAACACATTCTACAGAGGTTGACAGGGACTTTTAGCCCTATTCCAAAACTACGGCGGGCGAGAGGGCAGGGGCTGAAGTTATATGAACCCCCAGATCCCGTCACCTCTGGTGCTAGATACGTATTCTTCTATACGCCTATCTGCACTGTATGGCTGATGCGGTCAACGCAACTCCGTGATCACAGGAGGGGATTGAACAACACTAATGCGATAACTCAAAGGGAAACAACCTGAACAAAAATATTGTTTATGTTTGAAAAGTAGGAGCAGGAGTTGTCTTGAGAGAGCCGTTACCTTATAGCCATTCTCCGCCGTCATACCTTCTGTTTAAACGCAGCGAATGGCCTAGATGTACAACGTTCACAACTAACTCAAGTAAATCAGCTTCGACTAAATGCGTGCAGCTGTTATTATCATCATCATGTGCCTTGCTTTGCAGGTAGTAAGTAGCACAGAACTGATTGTTAGGTAAGTATCTAATTCTTTCGTACCATCCCAGCAAAATATTTACAATTAGATGCAAGGTTCAGATTTCTAGAGACAAATCGGCACTCTATGAGTGATATGGCCTGACGTCTCTATTTCTCATGAAAATTCCTAATGCCCATTTTGGCTGGGTCAACATCAGAATCAAAGTCACCATTGTCATCATCATAATTATTATCATCATCATCATCAGCAGTAGCACATGCACAACAACAGCAAAACATTGTACATACCCACACTGGTTACTTTGAAACTATTTTGTGGTGCTCCAAATTAAGTTTGCTCTATGGCCATACGGTATACCGGGTTTCCATGTTTTGTAGCTGCTTGATTCTCATCCTTGAGATATTAATCCTGCAGACTACAATACTAGAGGGAGAAAAGCAGCAGCAGCAACAACATCGATAACAACAACTCCATTCTTAAACATCGCTTCTGAGTTGTCACATACCTTCTTAGAGACAATATGGTAATCAGAAACCTTCTGCCCAAAAAGTGATGGCCGAGTCCATTCGATCTCCAGCGTCGAGCTTGACAAGGAAGTACTTGACGATGTTATCACAACACCTGAAGAAGACATTAAAAACGAATAGTACCATCAACACAAATTATTAACAACATTCATCAACATTGCGTCGGCATCTTTGGCTTAGGCGTTGCAAAGACGCTTCTTAATGCCGCGTTGCCGGGTTTGATCCCAGCCGCGGACGGTTTGCATGCGTTAATTTCTTCAGTGGTACCAAGAGCTGATCGTTTAGAAAGCAATGGCAAAATACTGTATGTAAAATGTGCCTTAAAAAACCACAACAGCCAAAAAATGCTGGGGTTGACTCTGCCACGTCCTGTAAAGGACATGAAACTCACTTTAACATCATCATTTTAATCATCATCATCATCATTATGATCAACAAGTGACTTAAAACTAGCGTGGATAAACACGCCTCTATAACCATGTGATCTCTAATAGTAGGTAGTAGTTTCCTTCTCTGACACCCTCACATGAAAGTAACATTAATAATAGGCTGTTGAGAATCTTCTCACGTATTTCTGTTCTGTTTCTTTTTCCATAAATCATCGCAGTTCACCGCCGCAAAGGCAATATTAAAAAAAAATTAAACTATACCCATTTCTAGCTTATAAATCAGCAACTGTCGGAAAGTGACAGACGAAATGACAAATACAAACTACAGACTTGTCTCAATGTCTAAAGAGAATGCAGGGAGTATTTTGGCCAAACAAGATCACACACAAAGTGCAAAGAAAGAAAACTACGAGGGGTGGTACAAAAGTTATCCTTCGTATTTGGTTAAAATCTATTTAAATACTCTATCTGGGAGTCGCCGTGGCGTAGCAGCTAGACTCTCGCCTGCGGATCAGAAGGTGGTGGGTTCGCTACCTTGGCTGCCAGGTCGACCCAGTTTTGAGTGGGTTCCAGGTGCAGTCCTGGGAAGTAAAGGCGGCCGGCATGATGCTGAGACCATCAGTCATATTGTGCTGTCGGTCTATAAAATATAGGTCTAGCCCCATATACCAGATACGCTTGAGAGGCATAGACAAGGGTTCTTTACTTCACTTAAATTTAGCGGGACTTTCTTAGACACTTGCACGTTATAGCATTATCAACCAGTTTCGGTAACATGTGGCACCACTGTAACGGTTTAAAAATAGCTACTAAAATCGTTCGGTTAAAACAATGTAATGTATTAGAATTCCTCAACAATGAAGGCGAGATCCCAATTCGCATTCAGAAACGTTTGAAACATTTTCATGGAGATTCACCAGTGAAAGTTTAGCACTGTCCGACGCTGGGTACATCGTTGTGATGAAGCTGAAGTAGGTCAGTCCTTAATGGCTGAAGCAAAGTTGACTGGCTGTACGTCATTTGCAATTACTCTAGACAATATTCACTGAACTGATGACAACATTCGTGCTGACTGCCGGGTAATCCTGAATAAACTGAAGGTCTGGACACTGGCTTTACAAATAGACAATAAGGAATATAGCTCATCCATTGTGAGCTCTCCCTGACGTTTCAACGACGCACAAAGATAAAGATATTTATCATTAGAAATGTATATCTAAGAATAAAACTTTCCAAACCTTTGAGGATTTGCCTCAGGTCGGCCTCTGTCAACTTATCCTCCTCCAGACGGGATTCGGCATTAGAATACTTCCCTCCAAGAAATTTCCCGCGACTTTCCAAAGGCAAGCCATTACCAAGAAAGGTGAACAAAAAACTCCACAAATTAGGGCTAAAGGTCACTAGTTTGACCCCTGACTCCTGAAGCTGCCTCAGCCCAATAACATTGTCATTAGATTCGTTAACTGGTATACCATGAAAACAATCTTCCATCCCCCTCCATATCCAAGATGGCCGACGAATTCTGTTCAGTGCAACGAACGCTATGCTTATTTCAAATTTAATTCGTTTTTCCTTTGCTAAGGCAACGGTTTTGATGATCTCTTCTGCACATTCAAAGCAAGGGCTGAAATTCTGAATCAAGGTCGCCGTGAATGCATTCCTTCGGGTGGCCACGCGAACTTGGGTCAGAAGATCGCGAGCAACTGCTGCAGTCGCGTGAAGTCTTGACGTTCCTTCCTTTCTTGTCCAGGGAAAGTTGGACGTTTCCTCTTTGGCAGTGTGGTAATAGAGAACTGTGGCTTCAGGGTGATTGCAGCTATGGGACGCAGAGGAAAGATGAGTTGTCCAGAACAAATCAAAATCTTCTTTGGCCATTTTTTTTCAACTAAACGAGACTACTGAAGAAAAAATTGATTTTTCTTTTCTTTTACAGGTAGTGTTCAATACCTTATGTTCAAAAATTTAAATTATTTAGCTGTTGTAAAATTCATTTTTGTTGTTGTTGTTGTTGTTGTGGTTGTAGTTGTTATGTGTTTTCTAAAATCCACTGGAGTCTGACAGTTAGAGGCAGTGAAGGCAGTTTCACAACCACCAATATGTTCAGATTTGAAGTCAGTTGTTAGTGACCAGGTAGCAGTCTTAAGGTGTTACATCGTTGTTGATTATTAAAACCACGTCACAGTAAAGGACCATTTTTGTGTGTGCTTGTGTGTTATTTTAAAGCCCTATCTGTGCTGTTCTTAGAGGGCCCTAAATTAACCCCGCGATTCAACAGGGGTTCCGGAACTTGCACAAGAGGAATTCTCAACCGAATGGTGGCACCTTGTTTCACCAAATGTTTATTGCTCTCTCTGCGGTGCTAGTGGGGTTGAACGTCAGTCAGCTGTTTACCTGCAGAGTTGAAAAAAAAAACAAAACATGATCTACAGATAAGCTAGTTACAGACCTTATAACAAATATAAAAACTAAAGTTAAAAAAGGACCCTTTTCCACGCCAGCGTACAATGATAAATCAAGGGAGAGAAGTCAACAAGTTCTAGTTAACCGCGAGATGAAGAAAAGACGCTGGAGTTGGATAGGACACATTTGGAGAAAACATAGGAACAGTGTAACTGGAATATCTCTGTATTGGAACTCACTACGGTATAGAGATTAAGGCAGACCAGGAAAAAAAAAAAACATGGAGAGGAGAGCCAGAGCGTGAAGTGAAAATGATGGAGAGCTGCATGCAACAGCAAAGTATAGAGTGACTGGGCATGTGTTGGTTGAGGGCCTATGCTTTATTAGGGCTTAAAGGGCAACAGAACAACAACAACAACATGAAGAAGAAGAAGAACACGAAGAAGTAAAAGAAGAAGAAGAAGAGGAAGAAGAAGAAGAAGAAGAAGAAGAAGAAGAAGAAGAAGAAGAAGAAGAAGAAGAAGAAGAAGAAGAAGAAGAAGAAGAAGAAGAAGAAAAAGAAGAAGAAAAAGAAAAAGAAAAAGAAGAAGAAAGAATAATAAAAATAATAATAATAATAATAATAATAATAATAATAATAATAATAATAATAATAATAATAATAATAATAATAATAATAATAAGAAGAAGAAGAAGAAGTAGAAGCAAAAGACTTTCACAACATTTTATGCTGTTCACCCATTTTGAAACATTCAGGTTTTGAACAGCTGGCCAAAGATGTCATTTATGAATATATTAAAGAACAAATTATTTATGAAGATATACCATTTTGTCAGTTCCAACAATTAACTCCTTAGCCTCATATCTATATATTTCACGCAGGACAGTGTAAACTATTGTTTGTGTCCTCATTATACCACTTGACAATGGGAAAACATTTTTATGACCATGTTATTAAACAGTAAACATACAACACAAAAGAATGTATAAAACGTACCGTGTAATGCCACATTAAGCTGCGCTGAAAACGAACACATATGTTTAACACCAGAACACTACAGATTTAATCAGTATTTGAATACGGCAATGCGTTGGTCTGTTGTCAACAAATATTGTCAAGTACGAAACACATCTCCAGATAAGATGTATACTTCTGTTATCTCGAAATGCGCTTGCATATGTGTTTGTGTGCACTGTTTACACAGGCGTGTTTTTATTTTTATTTTTATATTGCAGGTATTTTTAAGCAAAGAATTGCTATCGATTTAAGTGTTTCTGCACTGTTCGCTGATTTACTGAAACCGAGCAGTTAATTTTCATGAATGTGCGCATATAAAGAAAGGTGAAAGCAAGAATGCTTCGAGCAGAGTGGCAAGCTTCAGTGAAGAGGTCACGGGTAGTGAGCATACTTTGAATCTTTTCTCCAGGCGTGGTGGGCAATGAACAGGCAGACAGATTGGCTGGATCTGCGCTACTGGTTGGTGAATTGATACATGACAAGGCAGATGTGGTCAAGGCTTATTCAGTAGAGAAACAAGATTATTATGGCTTGGAGAGAATGAGGCAACTGGGTGTAACCAGAGGGTCTGGCCGGCTCACTACACTCAGAGGAAAGGCAAGACAGACGTATAACAAGATTGTGACCGGTGCCATCAGTATTGGAACTCTGCTGAAAATGGGGACAGAGCATGCATGGGTATGCCCCGAGTGATGTGATGTCAATTCTTGACTCAACTCAACACAGAGAGATAATTCACTAAACTATCTAGGAATGACTTTCAAATACGACGTGGAAGAGGTAGTTCTAGAGAAAGGGAAAAGACTCAATGCTTTGCCTGTAATGGCCTGGCAGCCATGGAACAGAAAATGTTCTATACATTTTTTCAGCAACAGATTTTTTCGGTGATAGAGTATAGTTTGGTACTGTTAAAATTATCTCATACCGAAACAGAGAAGGAACACATGCAGAATAAAGCCATGAGAGTCATTCTGGGGTTTAACACCTTAGTCATCCCTTTGTGGGATGCAATTTTTCGTTCTTTGAAGCCCTACTCTGGCTCTTGTCAAGGGCCGCAATTTAGCCCGGCTATAAATTTGGTCTAATGGCTGAACGCAGTTTTCGGGACCTCTCCACGGGTGATCCTCATCCACATGGTGGCATTTTGTGTCATCGGGTGTTTATTGCATGTATGATGTCCTCCCGGTGGGGTAAAAGAAGATATATATATTCTGGGGTTTACTTAAAACATGCCAACAGCGTGCATGCGGCCCATACTTGCATTACCATCCGTATATGAGAGTTACAAGGTTTTTTAGGCGAAAATATACCTGAAAGTCGCAATGGACAGGGAACACCTTCTGAACGAGTCCTTAGGAGATAGCACGGGACAACGGTTGAAAAGAGGTGGCTCTTGGATGGCACAGGCAGAAGTCACGATCAGAACTGGTGTGGAATGGGTAATAGTGCCACCAAACAAAACAGACTTCCAAATAGTGATAGTTACCTTGGACCTAGGGTGACGGAATAAATAGCTGGCGAAACAAAGCCAGTGGTACAAGAGCTGATCAATTAAAATTCACGCCCAGGTGGCATCATAATATATACAGATGGGTCTGTAGTGAGAGGTAAGAAAAGTGGGCGGGTTTTATTACAAAGGTGAATGGACACTGCCTGAAAACAGACAGTCTCGCGAACAAAGTCACTACATCCAGTATGAGAATGGAGGTGGAGGCAGTAACAGGAACTTTCTGATGGCTTGAGAACAGCACAGCCCGACATGTTGTGACTTTAACAGACTCACCGAGCATTGAATCTGGTGTCCTGCAATCAAAAGCGCTTGCATCATTTGATAGGACCAGATCAAGGGCATATCATTGATTCTCTTCCCATGAAATTCAGGTGTGCGAGGTAACGAGCAGGCTGATAGATTAACTGCTGCCGCTCTTCTTGGCGGTGAGCTGCTATAAGATAAAGCGAATGTTGTAAAGGCTCTATAGCAGTGGTTCTTAACATTGTCCCCCAAAACATACAATTTTTTATGTTATTACTTCATAACTTGAGTGAATTGTGTTTTCCGACTGTCCTCAGCTCTATGGGATCAAATAGACAGTACAAAAGAACAGATAGGAAATCCATACAGTGAAAGACTAATTCAAAGAAGAAGCGTAAGGGTGGTGTGGGTGTGGGGGGGGGGTGGGGTGGGGCGGGGGGGGGGGGAGTAGGTGAGTAGATGGTCTGGAAGATGTTCAACACTGAAGGGGAAACACAGGCGGAATTTTAATCAAGTTTCAACTGGCAAAATTAGCAAGTGAGCTCTTCGTTTGTTACCAAAGAAGGGGCGGAGCATATAGGGGAAAGTTCTGAGTGTAGTGATGTCAGTTCTTCATTCATTCATTCATTCATTCATTCATTCATTCATTCATTCGTTCATTCATTCATTCATTCATTCATTCATTCATTCATTCATTCATTCATTCATTCATTCATTCATTCATTTTTTTAAAAGCAATATGGCCCTTTCGGATTTGAACTTATGACCTACAGACATATCCGCAGGCGTGAGTCTATCCGCTACACCATCGCGGCTATATGTATGCATGGGGCAGGATTCATATTTGAATAGAACATCCAGACTCGATATGGCCAACAGCACACTTGCCCAGGACAATGCCCGTTTGAACCCAAGACTTTCAGGCTGACAGGCAATGGTCTAGCTACTTTTGTTCAGATGCGTTGCATGCGATACTAATAAATATTAGACACGTGGAGTCACCTCCTCCCCACAAATGTATGTATGTGTGTGTGTATGTATGTATGTATGTATGTATGTATGTATGTATGTATGTATGTATGTATGTATGTATGTATGTATGTATGTATGTATGTATGTATGTATGTATGTATGTATGTGTGTGTGTGTGTGTGTGTGTGTGTGTGTGTGTGTGTGTGTGTGTGTGTGTGTGTGTGTGTGTGTGTGTGTGTGTGTGTGTGTGTGTGTGTGTGTGTGTGTGTATGTATGTGTGTATGTATGTATGTATGTATGTATGTATGTATGTATGTATGTATGTATGTATGTATGTATGTATGTATGTTATGTATGTATGTATGTATGTATGTATGTATGTATGTATGTATGTATGTATGTATGTATGTATGTATGTATGTATGTATGTATGTATGTATGTATGTATGTATGTATGTATGTATGTATGTATGTATGTATGTATGTATGTATGTATGTATGTATGTATGTATGTATGTATGTATGTATGTATGTATGTATGTATGTATGTATGTATGTATGTATGTATGTATGTATGTATGTATGTATGTATGTATGTATGTATGTATGTATGTATGTATGTATGTATGTATGTATGTATGTAGTATGTATGTATGTATGTATGTATGTATGTATGTATGTATGTGTATGTATGTATGTATGTATGTATGTATGTATGTATGTATGTATGTA